TAAGGGAAACGGGTAAATTTAAACGATATCAAAACTTAGGATTAAGTATGTACCCTTATAAATTCTAAACCGTTAGCAAAAAATAAGAGGGTTAGACAATATCGCGTGGTCTTTTTACCATACGCACGTTTGATAAAAATAGTGGGAACTTGGGGAAAGCCGATGCGGTTAAATTGTTACCCTTATAAATAACGATTTCTGCATAAAATATAAATCTATGACACACATTTTAATTTTGTAATTTACCAATGCTCATCTACATGTTCTCTTCTATATTGAGTTGATTAATCAGCGGTGGACTGGATAAGGGCATAAGGTATAGAGACCAGGTGATTTTTTTTAATGTTTTAAAGAAATCTATTCCACGTTTCCAGGCGTCATAATAAACACTGTCTAAAATTTCAAACGTTGAACGGATAATAATTATCTTTAGCAATCGGGCGCACTTTCATTTGGATGGGTTCGTAAATCAGTTGAACCGCACGTGATCCATGAGGAATAAATGCAGCTCCAACGGACTCACTATTTGATGCGAAATTGGGCTGACCGGGAAATTGGCCGGTGCTTCTTTGAAAATGCGAATGAGAATGCTACAACTGAGAACGGCTTGCGAAATCGCAATACGATAACGAGGTTTTATGGCTTCAGAATCTGGAAAGCGTCTGGTTTTCGCAGGACGGTGCGATCTGGCACAGGCTTGTAACAATTCGTTGATTATGTAGTTGATAGTGATTCGTAGCAATGAGCCGTCGGTTGTGATTTGGTATACATGTCGCCAATTTTTTTCGTTTCAGAATAATAAAATTAGAGACTTTACATTTACCCGCAGAACACCCCTCGTAAAATATGTGTTCGGGGTGCAAATTGTAACGAATGATAAAATGATATTTGATAGATAGAAATGTCTATATTCAATTTATAATTCAAATCAAGTGCGTAATGATAAAATATGAGTGGTTGTGCGCAATTTCCTCGTTCAGTAGGAAATTAAAAATTAAATAAAATATGAGAATAGAAATTCGTGTCTATTCTAGAAACTCGTCAAATAATCCATGTATGCCTGGTTTCACAATAGGATATTATGCAATAAGCATCTAATGATTATTAAGACACGAGTATGAGAATTACCCAACGAGCCTTAGTGCAAATATGTGCGCCTACAAGAGAATCATCCCCTCTCCCAGAATTTTTACTCAAAAACGATGTTTTGTAGTAGATTCAGGTTTCATTTTCTATCGATGGTGGGAGTTTACCTCACTTGAATGCTACGACCCTGAGTATTGGTGTTTGGAGATCAAAGAATTGACATATTGTCTATTCCATTTCAAACACTGAAATTTCGTGATTGGGATGAGAAACTGACAACTGATTTTCTATACTACAAAAGATCTGACAGACAGATAGAAAGAACTCTTTCAAAATCCAAATGTTCCCTCTCATCCAAACAGACCGCTTAAGCCTTACATCAGTTACAATTTCCCTCGTAGATAATATTCATTATATATCGTATATATTTGTAAGCGAGTAGTGGTGGCGTGGTGCATCGCTCGCAGTCGCTATTGCCTGCCACGTCTAAATACTTTTGTGGAGGACGAATATAGTTTCTGTTGATTAGAATTTAACTTATCCCAAAACAAAAGATGAAGTGCAAGGTTAATGTATAGCAAGGTTTATCAATCGCCTAGTCGCTTAAACTCCAGAGAATAGGGGTGGTAGAAGAAATGAAATGTCCGATTTACCGTTTGCTCGCCCAAGTTGGGAGATTGTTTGCAACCCCGCCGATGTTGCAATTATCAGAGATAAGTATCCAGTTATAATTTCCCTCCAAAACCAAGCATGTGCAATAGACAACTTTGAACTTTCGTATTTGTGGAGCAACTTGTTCTAAATTTATTTTTATTTTGCCTTTATTTTTGAGTAGGCGGGGTTTCAGCCAACGCTGCTCTATACCAACCCAACCCACTACACATTTACAAATATCCATGCCCGAACCCGGATTCGAACCAGGGACCACACTCTAGCTTTAACTGAATTGCGCCACACGGGCCGGATGGTTGGTTGTAGGTTCCTCTAGATCAGGCATGTTACATACGCGGCCCGCGGTCCTAACACCTGCGGTCCACCACGATGTTTGCAAATTCCATTTAATTGTACCCTGCGTCCTACTTTGATTGAGACTGCAGTGTATTTAGGGTATTTTCAAAGATAAAAACTTTTTTTAAAAAGTTTTGGCGACTGTGTGCCATTTATTTTTGAAAGTTTTAATACCACAAACAAACTCAATCTAGCTACGTTTGTTTCTAAGATACAGGGTGAAAACGAAAATGTTGATTTTTTGATGTTATCATATCTTACTATCCATATAAGATAGAAAAAAGGTAAAAGGTAGAATCCAGTTGAGTAATCAAAAAAAAACTTTTGGGCTACCGTTTCTGAGATTTCACTCAAAGTTGGCATATCTCAATCTCATTTATATATTTATATCTCTATATTTTTTTACATAATTATATGGTATTTTTAAAAACTTTGGAAGGCATGTTTCTAACGTCAGCCATTTGTATTAATGGTATCGTTTGTCTTAGTTACCATGGATACAATAAGCAAATCAAAATCTCCATGAATCCATGGCCTACTATCGCTCAGCATGATGTGAACTTTTAAAGATTGTGATTCAATTACAATCAGAGATAAGTGACGAGTTATCCTGGCCGATCCTTTTTCAACTCTTATTTAAAAAAGGCATTATTTTTAGAAAACAGTTACCCCCCCCCCCCCCAAATTTTTTTAAGAATGAAAATGTATTTCGCTTACCTTCATACAAGATGATCATGAATTCTTTTTAAAACGATTAAAATGCAATTTTAATGCTGAATTTGCAACTTGCAAAAGCAACTTATACAACATGAACATCACGAAAATTGAGAACGTACGAATACAAAAGCTGCGGAAACAGACACGTTCCCAAGATACAAATTATGCTAAGCATAGTGCGGTTGAAGATCCTCGTTGTACTGTAGTTCAAAATAAGAGCTGAATTTCGAATGGAATGTTTGAGAATAACTCATACTCAATCCGTTATGTAGAACTTATTTCAGTTTCAGGGCTATATATCACATCTAGAAAGTTTTATAAAACAGATTTATAAGTATTGTGAGCGACAAAGCTGATATAAGTAAGCAAATATGGGACGAGACCTTCATGCCGAGCCGCAGATAAATTTCCACAAAAATGTCTGGAGAGAAAGCGAGTAGAATATGAGCATCAGGAATTCGGATAACATGTAAATATAAAAATGCCTCGGATGAGAAAATTATATAAGAAAAGAGGCCTTTGGGATAGTAGAATAGATGCTAACAAGAAGTTGATAGACCTCAAAATAATAAGACCAACCGAACGAAAAAAGACTGAACAGATCTCGCCGTGCAAGTAAAAGCGAGACGGACGAAGCGGCGGAATGGAGGTGATGTACTGAATAGCAAGTAGCGGCGAAATTAGAGGAAAGGAAATGTACTACATCGAGCGAAACGAATGAAATAAGAAAATGCTAAGGAAACCGCAATGGAAATATATAATACGACACAGAATAACTGCTTATTATAGAGTAGGGGTGAGGGTGATATATAATGTACGAGAAACCCAACTAGAGGCTAGGGAGCAATGCATTAGGCTCACATGGCCCTCATTATGAGCCATCTTGGCACAGGGCTAACTATGAGATTGCCCCCACGATCTTGTTGCGACTCAGGTGTCTACACAATCTCAACAAGATAAAATTGAACGTTTACTTACCCTTACATAATATTTGACCAAAAAAGTTCATATGGCCGGAAATTTCATGCCCCGCAAAAAAAATACTTTTCTATCAGAATTCAGAAAAAAAGTTCGTTACAATTAATACACAAAGATAAAGCGTCAAATAATGTTGTAATAATGAAGATTCTCATTTCGACGAAACTTTTTTGATAGCTTTATACTAAAAATTCTAAATAATTATACTTTCAAGGATTACTTTATCGCATATTTGTATGCCGAAAATAGTACAAAACTGAAGTATTCGGAATGTCGAATCAAAGATGTCAAGATAAAAGCTAACAAAAAAAAAAACTTTTAACTTGTCGTTTATATGCAATGCGGCGTATCGGAGCGCTATTGGACCAGCAGGAATACTTTCGATCAGACCTTAACTACCGGATGCTAAAATAGTATAACGGTTACATTCGCGTTTTGTAGATAGGTTTTTGGAGTTCACAGAACGCTAACTACACAAAAAAATTAAGGCAACAAAAGAATCGAGTGCATAAATTACCAATACACCGGCGATGCGATTTGCGAGATTAAATCAAAATTTATTACCTACAAGATTCTTAAAAATGAAATATTCAGCAGTTTGAACTAATAACTGGATGTTAGACAAAGCTGTAATTATAATGAACATAATAAATATAGCCTTAAACTCATTAACGCGCACTTTACGAGATTCGCACAGAACGCGGCTTGGAAATACAGACAACATCATTTATTTTGCATGAATACGTGTTATACTTTGTACGTAAAGACGTTAAAAGTTTGTCGCGTTTTCGAGGACTGCCTCATTTTGTTGGCTTATCTAGGGAGTTTCACGAAAATCTGATGAGAAATTCCGAGGAAGTTCAAAAGTGCTACATTTTGTATGATTACCATCAACAGTTAATAGTGCGGAAAATTCGCGGAGGTTTTTTGTTTACAAGAAAAGAACCATTAATTATAAAACCAAATAAGAAACTCCGCGAAATGAAGTAGGGTAGTTTCCGGTTGCATTACATCATACTGGATAATGTTTTTTAAATATAACCGGTATCTCCCCTTCGTTTAAGCTTAAGCGGTCGGCGGCGCAAATTAAAGCGTAGAAATTTATCCATTATCGTTATGCAAAATATTTTGGACGATAACACGAGCAAAACGCTGTGACCTACCTCACATAATTAAACGCGTTCGTTATGCAATTTAATCTACTTACTTACTCGGATATTTCACCAAAACAACGAGAGGGAACGTTCCGGTAATTACCTGCAACAAGAAAACATTCTAATTAGTCAATTATATTAAGCTCAATAGCATTAAAGTAACGTCAACACCTTTCAATACAAACGAACAGCAGCGAACTCAAACGTTTACTCTCAATACCTTTGATTAACTCTTCAAAACGTAATTGCTAATTAATATTCATGGTTTCGCTGATCTCTTTGTATAAACAAATTAGTGTTCGGGATCACAGAGCTCTAATAACGATTTCAGTTGCTGTGAAAGCCATATCGTTACGTCAATTAATATTCAATATAGTTTCAATTTAAAAGCAAAAAAAAGCTGGACAGTGTGTGATTTAAAAAGGCGTTTCAAAGAGCTTTGAATCGTTCCCGCCAAGTCTACGATTATAAGTTTTAAATATGTTGCACATTTTCTAGTAATTAGGACAGTCGTTATATTCGGTTATAAAATGTAGGTACGTAATAAAAATGTTGTAAGCACGAACCCCGTAATTCAAATTTTAGTGTCTACGGTATGGATTAGCAATAAATAATGATATTCGATTAAGGTTACCGTTGGAAAGTAAAGATATAGACCTAAATTACCAATTGCGAAAATGTTTTTGTACCTCCTATAAAAATATTACGACTTACAGAAATGGATATATTATGATTATTGAACAGTGGATTTTATGAAGGTACCTATACTCGTATTATGCACCCTCATTGGCAAAATCAATGACCCCCTAAACTGATCAACTACAGAGAACCAAGTTCAGGTTATTTAACGTGAATATATTTATTTAAAAAAAATTAGGTAATGTATATGGCCGCCGGCCGCCCCCTAGCGAGCATAATTTATTTCAAGTGTACAGTCGTGGTCAGAAGTAATGTGCTCCCTGCGATACCTCTGAAGGAAAAGTACTAATGTGTCTGTACCTACTTGATTTAGTTCAATTTCATTTCAATCTTAGAGACTTTCCTCATTTTCAAAAGCTCAAAATTAACAGGAGATCTGCTATATTGTGTGCTCCACTTGGAGATAATAGAGACAAGAGAGAAATATATTTGTAAACCAAAGCCATTTTGGAATTGATGGAAAGGTGTGAATTGTAACTTTGAAGGCTCCACATATGCGAACTAGGAGGTTTGGAAACGCTACCATTGATGCAATCCAATCCGAAATTTGAATCGAGTTCAGAATTGTTGCGTCTACTATCAATTTCTTTTTTTACTACTTGTTTTTGATCAAACGGAATAGGCCTCGGCCTATGTAAATGCAATGCAAATCACTGCAAATGTGCCATTACAGTTTTGCATGTTCCCAAGTCCTTTTCGAAAATATGTTGCTAACGATTCCAAGTTCGTTAATTTTAGAATGACATTTTCTTCTTCTATGATTTTCAAAACATTTGAAAATTCGAAAGCAATATTTGAATTCTTAGTAATTTTCGTACCAAAAGCATTAAACCAAGTAGCTCTAAATAAATTTGTGCTCGCCAGGCATATGTCAAAGTACCTATCAAATATCTCCTTAACATGATTTTGCTCATTGGATTTATTGCCGATTTATGATAAAATAAGGAGAAATACAGCTGATGATTAAGTAATTCGTATATTATTAGATGAGAAAAAAAATCTTTCGATTGGTGTCATTATAAACCCTCTACGTTAACATGGGGAGCAACGATCTGCAAAAATAGTGCATTATACGAAGGTAGAGAAGTCCAGTATTATTGCCTGAGCGTGCGTGCAAGAAAAAGTCTAGCAAGCCCGAGCAGGTCATATTTTGTTCTGTCATTGAGATATTTTCAAAGAGTAATTTCGTTCGAATGTTTTCAAAATGTGATAATTTAAAGTATATAATTTCTATTGAATTGACGGGTGGTGGTAATTATTCATTTTAGAGAACGACAGAGAATGACAGTTGTCATGAATGACCACCTTATTAACCACTTTGAACAACTGCCGAGAAAGCCTACTTTACAAGTGGAAAAACGGTTAATATAATCATGTCATCAGACGCTAGTAGTAAAAAAAAACGTTTTTCTCATGTTAACTGCCTATGTTCAGTTTTGAAATAGTGACCCGGTATACTATATTCCGTACATAATAGGCACCCTGTTTATTGATTATATAATACCTATAATATTTGCAAACAAAGTAGGGTTTCGAGACCCATCCCATAACAGTATTCCAATATTCGAATATTCCAGAGTACATTTGGCATGTATGCAAAATAAGTGTATCAGTCTTCTAAAGTCATCATACAATTCAAAGGAGGGTAACATGATAATAAAATATTAGCATAATTTGTACTCGATCATAAAAGAGGGTGAAAGGAGTAGAAATGTAACATTCAATCTTACTTGATTTCCGGACTAGGACTGAGTTCCATAGTCAGGTGCAAATCATTTACAACTAAAATAGACTATAAACATGGTCTCTAGACTAACAACAAGAACAAAGTAATCTCGAAGGATTAATTCTATGGACATCAATCAAGTCTACCTAATGCTCCTTGTGAAGATTGGTTTCGGTCGGATAGCCAATATTTTCGAACATTCAAGAACTCTACTGAGTCGCTTCTACAGCTCAGGTGGAATGATTCTCATTCAATACCCTGTCCATTGCTATGAATCGCATGAGTAGCAGGCATACAAGGGAGATCAGAAGGTTTGCTCCTTTTGCTGCATTTCAACCAGAAGTATCGCCAATTACTAGTTTATAACTCCGATCCATCATAATAGTGAATTTCAAAATCAGCGTCCTGCGAATTGTTAATTAAAATATAAAAATTGCACAGCGATCTACGTACACGAAATCTACAAGCTACCCTAAATTATCTAAACACATGTATATTAATCTCAAATGACGGCCACCCGCACCTATAGAAAACTTCCACTGTTACTACCTACGTACAAGCTACCCCAAATTGTATAAATACCCTTTAATCCCCTAACAAATAAGTAATCTAATCCCTCAAGTTAAAATCAACTAAACTGTCGACGATGTCAGTAAAAGGACCCCTGCTGGCAGTGACCAGACTCAATTTCGCCGAACTAATTATTAAATTTATCACAATAAAGGTTGACTAACTTAATGAATTTGTTTATGAGAGATTGGCAATTACTACAACGTTTCGTTTCGGAGAAATCATCATCAATGATCCGTAAAAAAAGTACATATTGTATTAGTAGCATTTTTTGTTACGAATACAGCGATACCTATACGTCACACAAAAAAACAAAAGCTGGAAACAGTTGGTTTCAACAAGACGGTGCATCCGCACACAACGCCCTAACCATATATTTCCATTACATAACACTTTAATTGCGGCACTTTTCACCATCTTCATATCTCCTACGCTTTCCGAGATCCCCATGAAAAACATCGTTATCTTGGACACCGCTGTTAGGCGCTTCTAAGATGTTTGGGAACTTAATTGTAGTAAATTCGGGTTACTGTACAGCGAGCTGTAGCGCCTTAGGAGAGGTGCCTATGGTGAAGTACGCCCCAAGTACCTATCAAAGACCTCCACATTGGAACGAACTCGGTGAGTTTTTTAGTCTGAACGATGTTTAACCCACCCCGCAAGATGATTGAACGTTTGTTTCGATGTGATACCGTAAACACACGATTCATCACCTGTGATGGCACTCGACAAGAAGTTTTCTTGTCTGAACGTCCAAGCAATTGACTGTTTGGTCAGCGGTCATGAGGGGTAGAACAAATTTCGAAGCAACGCGTTACCAGTTCAGTTTTTCCGTCAGATTTCGTAATATAATCCCAATCATTATCCGGCGGTCGATTTAACCGAACCGACAGGTTGATCTTGTCTACGTGTAAGGACGTTCCAGAAGCTCATCGTGCTTAATCGACAAATGGCCATCTTTAAAACGTTCGTAGCACAATAAACTTTCCAATTTTAACACAAAATTTCGTATCAACTCTTTGCTTGAACACTCGTAAAAATTCACCAAACTAAAAAAACACACTTCACAAACGAAGAAATAATGGTATGTCTAAACAACCGTCTTGTAATCCGTGGATTTGTACGAAGATCGCGACGACAAGTGGATTTCTCTGGAACCAACAATGTCTACGTATTCTCTGAACAAACCCCGTATACGTTGACAAACGCAGAGGAATGATTTACAAACTCAAGTAGCGAGCATTTCTAGCAGGTAAAACTCGCTTTCACTTGCATCTCCGTGTAGGTATATTACGTAACAGAAAAACTGTTAATATTGAGCACATGCACATTAAATTACCCAGACGCAACGAAAGACAATAAAAATTCCCTAATCGGTGTACAATGTGCAAACTCACAGAGTGGAACATGTGAAAGAATTATTTAAGAGTACTTAAAGGTAAATGTAGTCCATGTACTGTAATTACATAATTGACAATGAATGATAGGGTGCGATCGAGAATATTCATTAGTTTGAGGAAAGCGGCACGAGCAAACTATTTACGGCGGAAGGTTGTTGCACTATCCTACAATGCACGTAATTAAGAAGAGATGACACATAAATAACAAGCATGACACGCAAATGCTCAGAGACTCTAAACTTCATCTAAGTCATTTGTACTTAATGAACAATATGGTTCGCCACTTCATTACACAGTGACAAACTATTATACACTGCAAGGCACATTTTGGTCGACCTTTGCGTTTAAGGTAGGTATCGCTTCTCAGATTATACGTATGGTTTATTCGGAAATTTCTCCTAAAAATGTAATTAGAGCTCTGGCATCCCATTAGTAGAAAAAGAATTTCATACAACACGAAAATGATGATGGAGTTTATTAATAAACCAAAACGTGCACCTGCCTTAACCTACATCTGGAAACATCACATCTTCACGTTAAAACTAACGCGAAAAATTGATGACAGGTGGGACATAGTGGGTGGTGTATTTATAGCAAGCACACAAATTCATACGCGACTATAAAAAAATTCCTGATTTTCTAAAATCAAGCAAACAGAATTAGAACTTTCAGAAACAGAATTTAACTAAATTACAGCCTAAGTGCGTC